TGTCGGCATGTTTATTAAACATAATTTTTAAAAATATCAACTTTTACAAAAATCTAATTATGACTGAAAATTATTTATATTTAGTCCTTTAGCACTTACTTCCCTTTGATAAATTAGGAAAACACAATTACTTCCCTTTATAAAACATTGCATTAGTGGAAAAGAATTTACTTTTTATTACTTTGTTTTGGTGTTGGGAAAAAAATAATTACATAATTAGCGGGGATTGATCAAGTGCAAATGTTGTTGGTATTTTACGGTTAAGCTTGGAGTATTATAATTGTTCATTAAATTGAAACAGCCGCGTCCGCCGGTGCCCCACCAGGGTTCAATTTGGCGCTCTGGGCTATCCTGTGAGCGCTATGGTGCATAATTTCGCTTTAAACAGTGCGATAGAGTATGGATAAGAAAGGTTACTATAGTCTTTAAGTGAATCGAATCCGGCGTCCTCTGGCGCCCAGATAGGGTGCTATTTGGGGCCCCGGGCCTCCCGTGTTCGGTTTGGCGCCTACGTTCGTTTAAGTGAGTGCAAAAGACTATGAATAAGTAGGGGTACTATAGTCGTTTATTAAGCTGAAACAGGCGATTCTGCCCGGGCTAGACTGTGAGCACTTTGTGTTTATGTTCGCGTTAGTGTTTTCTTTGTGTTTAGGTTGGGTTTGCGTTAGTGGTTGCGGTTTGATTTTTGTTCTTTCTTTTTTCGTTTTTGTTTGTGTTTTTTTCTTTGGGTTTGTATTTGTGTTTTTGGTTGGTTTTGCGTTTGGATTTGGTTTGTTTTCGTTTGCTTTTTAGGTTTTTTTGTGTGTTGGTATTGGTGGTTGTGGTTGTGGTTGGGTTTGTTGTTAGGTTTTTGTTTTCGTTTGCTTTTTTGTTTGTTTTTTCTTTGTGTTTGTATTGGTGGTTGTGGTTGGGTTTGTTGTTAGGTTTTTGTTTTCGTTTGTATTTGTAACTGTGTTAGCGTTATGTTTGCGTTTTGTTGTTTTGGTTTTGGTTGGTTGTGGTTTGGGTGGGCAATGCCGGGTATATGATGATTACTAAACACACAGGTAATGGTCTTTAACAGAAAGGTTTTTCACAGAAGCCAGAGCAGGGCCTGGCCGGGACGGCTAGTCTAATTGTAAATGTCAAAACATATCACTAATTACTTTAGTGTGTAGTAAAGAAACTTTACTTTATTCGTTATTATAAATATATGTTGTCTACAATCAGAATTAAATATATTGTCATCCTAAATGCTAAAATCTTACAGCATAATGTAAGTTTTTACAAGCTTTTATTTAACTCACTTCCTCTGTCTGTCTAGATCGAAACGCTGGAGTGAAAATTCGGACAGTTCTACTTGACCGATACGATTCACATCTGACACGTGGGTCAAGACATGAAGACAATGCAATCTGAAATTAAATTTGACTTAATTGGATGCCTAATTATTTTTTTATGAATTAATTAAAATTTGGACCGAATTAGTAGGCATGTCTATCCAACCACACCACACGCGTCATCACGTTCAATAGCTGCGCCATCACGTTCAGTAGGCGCGCAATGGTTTTTAGTCATGTAACTCTATTGTAAATAAAACATGTAAAGTACTGAAAAAAAAATTCATAAAAAAACCTTTTAATAACAAGCTTTTATGTAATAATGCACTAAAAAGTAGAAAATAAATTATAGACTACTATTTAAATAACTATAAAGAAAAGCGTGGGTCACTTTAGTATCTATTGGATACCTTTACTAATGTTGAGGAAGACACCCACGCTTTTCTTTATAGTTATTTAAATAGTAGTCTATAATTTATTTTCTACTTTTTAGTGCATTATTACATAAAAGCTTGTTATTAAAACGTTTTTTTATGATTTTTTTTAAAAATCAGAGTTTGTATAAAAGCACGCTTTTCAATTATAGGCATTAAAACTAAACCTAATAGGTGGAAGATTTTAAATAATAGCCTACATGTAACTAAATCTTTGGTCTTACAGTTCAGATCACACATTTTCTAATTAGCAACTGTTTTTTGTATTCTTTAAAGATCATTTTTTTAAAATAATGGTAAGGTATGGGTTTGATCACTGTATTGCACACACACCTATTTACTGGTAATTGCAAAAAAAAATATTTAAAGAGTTTTACCTGTTTCAAAAGCTATTATTCTGGCGGCAAGGTACTTTGGTATGTCATTATGTGTTTCCCCAAATGTACCAACATATCAGTTGGGGGGGGGGGGTGTTTTTCAACTTCATTCACCGCTGACCGGTCAATTATCCTACTCAGCGTATACCTAGGTGTGTCCCGTTTTAGGTGGGGAAGTGGGGGGTTGGGGAAACCAACTCAGAGTGAACATAACGCCAGTTTTTAGATGATGGTTCTAAACATACATATACAATTATACATATATACTGATTCAGTAATAGATTTAAGTAAGTAACAGTGGTATTATGACAGTAAACAAAGTTACAGAGGGGTCCATGGGGGGGGGGGGGGGGAATTGTGGTGGCTTTCATATAAAAAAGTTTATGGTAAATTAGATTCAAATATTGAAACTTTCGCATACTAAAGAGGGTGTGATTTTTTAGACCTTATAGAAATTTAACCAGTAGCTCAATCAAAAAGATGTCATGACAAACCTAAATTGTTTTCAACCTTTTTTTTTTTTTTTTTGCTGTTGAATACTTACTTTCATGTGCCAAACAATGTAAAAGTATCCAAAAGGTTTTAGATCTTAAATTGTAAAAAATCGAAAAAAAAATGTAGCATATACCCTCAAAATGAAACCCAATCAGCTAGCTCCAAGCATAAAGATATCTGTGTGGGAACCAGAAGACTCGCTTTTTTTTCTATTTAGTAATAAATTGTAGTAACCACTGTATCCCAAATGTAGTTCGCCCATTTAAACCAATGCTGCAGTCATGCTGACCCATTGTGCTAAGATAGCTTCACACTACCTCTGAGTGCAGTCCCTTTAATATTTAAATTAATTTTTATGGCAGAAACCTCAGCTTGAGTGTATTCAACAACAAATTTTTTGCAATTGAATGAATGGTTATCTTTTTTACTTTCTCGTATATACGTAGTATAGAGAAAGTATTGTAATCGTGCAAAAAAAAAAATCGAGATTTTTACAAATCTCGACGTTTTACACCTTACTGATACGGAAAAACATAATTTTGCAATCTTGTCCGTATGTCTGTGTGTGTGTGTCTGTCCGTGTGTGTGTCTGTCCGTGTGTAAACACGATAACTTGAGTACCGTTACAGCTAGGTTGATGAAATTTCATATATAAGTATTTTATCAAAATCGTAGATCCGTATCAGTTTTTGAGCGATTTCCGATAACCGGAAGTGGTACTTTTCCTACTTTGAATTTTTTAAAAGCCTATAACTTGAGTACTATTTCAGATAGATAAATGAAATTTCACATGTAAGTAAAAGATCTAATTCTCTACCTTCTGTTAAATTTTGAGTAATTTCCGTTGACTGGAAGTAGTAATTTACGCTACTTCCGATTTCTCAAAAAACTAATGTAAATTTTAAAAGTACTAATAATATTGCGCACTATTATGCGCTTTTTTATTTGCGTTCACTTGGTGTGCAATTAATTTGTCTACGAGATTTTATTCTATTTTTGAAACTTTAAGTATTTAAAATGGATTAAAAATCATGTCTATAGCCCGAGTTTCCATCCCCTGTTATTTTATATAAGAATATTCGAGAAAGTTTAGGGGAGATCACTCCCGGTTTATTTTATCATGAAGAGTGGTGATTCTTAAAACATCGACTGATAAGACCAATTAAATATAAAAATATGTATTGACTTAGTCTAAAAAATTTGCAGTAACTCAATACTGAAATATAGTAAACGAGCCGGCCCGCGGCATAACATACGCCGCTATTTAGTTGTTTCTAATTTTCAATAATTCATAATTTGTGAATTCGACAGTACCAACGCTGACACTGAAAATATTTCTTTAAAACACTATAAGTAGCTCGTTAAGGACCATAACCCCCCCCCCCTTCCTTCCCTCCCCCCTCCTCCCCCCCCCCCCCCCCCCCTACGTTTAAAATCGTTGGCTCTGCTTGTAAACATTTAGAGTGAACACAGCTCACTAAAACCATGTAGGGGTGGGGAGGTAGGGAGAGCGTTTGCAGCTTGTTTTCTAACGGCTTGAAGAAGAGAATTATATATATAGATAAATCAAGATAAAACCTTTATAGTTGCGAGCTTTTAATAGCATTCAAAATTAGCTTTAATAAAATAGATAATAAGTATTGTTAGCAAAATTAATAGAAAAGATTTCTAGAATTATAGCTAAAGAAACTTAACGTTTATATTTTCTTATTTTTTCTGCATTTAAAAGCTCGTCATTAAAAAGGGTTTTTGATAATTATTTATTTTTACTTATTTAAATAGTAGTTCATTATTCAATAATTACAAAAAATCTAATATTTTCTACTTTTTACTGCATTTTTACATAAAAACTGTTATTAAAACATATTAATGCATTTTTTTTCAGTACTTTAAAAAATTTAATTCAGTAGAGTTTCATGACTTAAAACTATTGCGCACAAAATGAACATGAAAATGCCTGTACAATAGTGCAGTAAATAGTAGGTCCCCCTACTTTATTTAGGATTTATTTTAATTTTAAATCAAATTAAAATAAATTTGATGTAGGATTGCATTGTCATCGGGTCTTGACCCACTTGCCTAGTTTGATATGAAATCTGTCAGTTACAAGTGATTGAAATTTTGCTCGGCAGTTTCAATCCAAAACAACAGACTGATAGAGGAAACAAGTTAAATAAAAGCTTGTAATAAAAAACTTGTAAAAATGTGCAGCTTTCGATGAAAATGTTATTCCCATTATTATTATTATATATCATTGGAGAGGTTGTAATGTATGAGACTGAAGTCTGCACTTGTGCAGTACCAATTAAATAGGTTTTACTTTAAAAAACTTAATGTAAACTGTTGAATGAGACTTAAAATCTTTGTTTCTACAGAGCAAGGTATTTATGTGATTGGATTCAGCTACCCAGTTGTACCTAAAGATAAAGCCAGAATACGAGTTCAGATCTCAGCAGCTCATACAGAGAAAGACATTGATAAAGCAGTTGATGCTTTTATCAAAATTGGTAGAAATCTGAAAGTTTTGCCTTAGACTACTTAGGCTTGACTTCCATTAGTTTCAGGCACATATTTACATATTTCATTTATTATCTGTGGAGGTATTTTTTTAAATTTAAAGTTACTTTACTGGACCACTCTGATACTAAAATTTCAGTTAATGTCTTGTCTGTGTAATTTGTATTACTAATTGTTATTGCAACTGTTGATACAGGTTTTTCTTGTTACATCTTGATTTCTTTCATGCAGTATCTAAATATTGTAAAATCATACTTCAAGAACTGTTTACACCATATACTAGTCAATTTATTTGAATCTCAGTTCATACATATTTATTAATTTACAGATTTTTGGTCTGTTTAAATTTTATATTTTGTTAACCAATAAAATGTTATTAGGCAGCTTGTTAATAATTTAAACAGACACATTACTGAACAAAAAATAATTTTTAAAAACAGTAGTTAATATTTGTTGTGATTTTTAATACTGTTTTACAGGCAAGTTGTATTTCAAACTATTCCATTATTAATTTGCAATTTTTAAAACTACCAATAAATGAGCTCTAGTACATTGTGGCTGGATAAAATTCAGTACAAGAATTTTAACAGACTAATATTATAGTTATAAAATGAATCATTACACTAATTAAATAAAAGTCATTCCTGTAATATATCTATCCCTTATAAACTTTTTTATGAGTATTTACTTAAATGTTTGGTATGAAGGATCAATAAACTTTTTAAAATGTTTGGTCTAATATTTATTTTTACTAAGTCTTTTTATTTTTGTGATATTTTAAGAATCCCGTTATTAGTAGGGTTTTTTAGCGCAATTACCATTCTGGAGAATTGCGTTTATTAACTCGTCAAGGATGGATGGATGTCCGCAGCTTTAAGTCGTATCTCCTCCTCAACGAAGCAATATCGAGGACTAGTTCCAAAAGCAAATATGTTAAGCAAGTTCCGAGGATGATTGTGGGCCAAAAAAATTCCCGGAATTCCTTCCTGGATCTCCCGGAAAAGCCAAAAAAAACCTCGAAAAATGCAGTTTTTGGCCCATATCTCGGCAACCAGACCACTTAGCGACTTGAAACATTTACCAATCGATTTCTGCCATAATTTAGAACAAGAAGAAAGTTTTCGAAAATATCCTTTCGTTCGGGCACAAACATTTTTTAAAAAATTACATTATACATAATACATTACAGTACTATATAGCAAAGAAGGCAGTGGAACGCGAAGCAGGAGGGTAAATCATGTGACATGGCTGGCTTAGCAGCGAACTGCGCGAGACGCAGGCGAAGGAGGAGGAGCTATGATTTATCTCGATTTAAAATTGTTATGGATAACATAAGGAAATTGCGCTTAAATTGTCACTAGACTTTTTATTAACTTGTTTACGTGTTTGAATTATGAAATTGGTACTTAAAAATCTATCCTAATATATAAAAGCCCATGTGTGCACTCCTCTCTCTCCCTCTATCTCTCCCTCTCTCTGTCCGCAAAATATTTTCGCAGGATATCACATCAGAATCTTCAGCGATATATGGAGAACTTGATACGGACTTTAGTTGAAAATAATGTGGTAGATGTTTTAAATGTATAACTACAATTGTATTTAAAGAAGAAAAATAAAGGCGTATTCGAATTTAGAAAAACAGTTTTAATTATGCAACCGGAAAAGTGTTTATAGTTGGGACAAGAGCGCATTTAACAATGACGTCACTTTTTGTTTTCACTAAGGAAAGAGCACGAAACTAATAACGTCATCTTCCGAGTTTAGAATATAATAAAGAAATGAACTAATTCATTCAAATATAATTTAGAGCTACGTACGCTATGAAATGTATACAATACGATTTTCTCGGCCTAAACTTATAAAATTTACTTTATCTATTTGGATTCTTGTATTTCTAGATCTAGATATTCCAGATCTAGACTAGATCTACGGAAAAACTAGACGTAGACGCTAAGATCTGGATTTAGACTATCTACTCTAGATTCTATTCCCATAATAAATGTCTATATTAAACTATTTCAGGCCTTAATTATTTTATAGAAATCTTTGCTTAGCTATGGCATTGGCTGACTTGGGATAAAATTTACTTTGAAAGAATAGGGCTATTCGCGTAAGTTAAGTTTCTTCACCAAGTCAATCTTAATTTTGAGCGCAATTTCCATTCTGGAGAATTGCGTTTATTAACTCGTCATTTCTGGGAATGTATGGATGGATGAATGTATGAATGTGTGTCCGGGCTTTAAGTCGTATCTCGTCCTCAACGAAGCAATATCGATGACTAGTTACAAAAGCAATTATGTTAAGCAAGTTACGAGGATGAACATAGGCCATAAAAATTCCGGGTTTCTTTCATGGATTTCCCGAAAAAGCCAAAAAACCTCGAAAAAATTCAGTTTTTGGCCCATATCTCGGCAACCAGACCACTTAGCGACTTGAAACATGTACCAATCGATTCCTGCCATAATTTAGAACAATATTGCCGAAGAAAGTTTTCAAACATATCCTTTCGTTCGGTCACAAACATTTTTTTGAATTAATTAAAATTTGGACCGAATTAGTAGGCATGTTTTTCCAACCACACCACACGCGTCATCACGTTCAATAGCTGCGCCATCACGTTCAATGGCTGCGACATCACGTTCGGTAGCTAGGCGCGCAATGGTTTTTAGTCATGTTACTCTATTGTAAATAAAACATGTAAAATACTGAAAAAAAATTAATAAAAAAAGTTTTAATAACTAACCAATGGTTTTACTAACCCTGCTCTTGATTTACGCTACGACAGAGCTATTTTTAGATAACATAAGGAAATTGCGCTAAAATTGTCACTAGACTTTTTTTAATTACTTGTTTTACTTTCTCGTATATACGAAGTATAGAGAAAGTATTGTAATCGTGCACAAAAATCACTTGAAATTTTAACAATTTTCACCGTATTACACCTCAGTCCTTCATCACATCCGAAGTATAGAGGACTTATTTTAATCGGGCAAAAATTATCAATCCAGATTTATCAAAATTAAGAGGTTTTATGCGTAATCCAGTCTGAAAAACTGGACTTTGCAATTCTGTCCGTATGTCTGTGTGTGTGTGTGTGTGTGTGTGTGTGTGTGTGTGTGTGTAAACACGATTACTTGAGTACCGTTACAGCTAGGTTGATGAAATTTCATATATGTATTTTATCAAAATCGTAGATCCGTATCAACTTTTGAGCGATTTCCGATAAACGGAAGTGGTACTTTTCCTACGTTGAATTTTTAAAAGCCTATAACTTGAGTACTATTTCGGATAGATAAATGAAATTAGACATGTAAGTAAAAGATATAATTCTCTACCTTCTGTTAAATTTTGAGTAATTTCCGTTGACCGGAAGTAGTAATTTACGCTACTTCCGATTTCTCAAAAAACTAATGTAAATTTTTAAAGTACTAATAATATTGCGCACTATTATGCACTTTTTTATTTGGCGTTCACTTAGTGTGCAATTAATTTGTCTACGAGATTTTATTCTATTTTTAAAACTTTAAGTATTTAAAATGGATTAAAAATCATGTCTATAGCCCGAGTTCCCATCCCCTGTTATTTTATATAAGAATATTCGAGAAAGTTTAGGGGAGATCACTCCCGGTTTATTTTTTTCTATTTTTTTTATTTATATTTTGATAATAAAGCTGCCTATCGGGACTTGACGGGACACGGGGCATATTAAGTAGAGTTCACCTGTTTCTGTCTTTTTAGCATATGAAGGGATGGTGTGGTTAGACCCATGATCAACCGAAATAGGTGTTTTTAAAAGACAAAACAACATAACTTCCATTGAACAGCCGGGTTTTTAAAGAAATCTTTCAAGTTTCTTAATCAGCGAGTGCATTTAATATGGCCTAGTTACTGATGAAGAAGTAAACTATGTCATTTAAATCTATAGATCTATACATAAAAACCTAATAAAAATAAATCACTTTAAAAGCAAGAAGCCAGGGGTCTCCAAACTACGGCCCGGATGCGGCCCGCGAGGTCATTTTATCCGGCCCGTGACGATCTTTTTGTCCGCTGAATAAATGTTTGTTGTAGGTGGCTGAGGAGCTTTGCACAGAAAATTCAAAACTATTTGAAAATGTAGCTTTGTGTGCAAATACAATTACTCGCAGTGAGAACATTGCGACTCAAAAAGCGAAAAATTCAACTAAGTTTCGCCATTTTTCAATTGCAATGGATGAGTCGCTGGACAGCTGTTCCACTTCTCAACTTCCTTTGGTCATTAGAGGTGTGGATGAAGACATGAACATAACACAAGAGCTGGCTTCCCTACATATAATGCATGACACAGTTACCGAAGAGGATATCTAACCATAGATAGTTCAGAGACAAACACAAAATCGCAAGATTTACCATATTTCTTATCAGTAAGATTGCTAATTTTGCGAGAAAATTCTGAGCAGAGTATCTAAGAAAAGAAATAGGTGACTTCCTGATAGTAAAGGCAAGTCACAGCCAATAATGTCTGATGAAGAATGGGTATAGAAATTGGCCTCTGCTGAAGACATAACTAGTCATTTAAATTTCCTGAACCTAAAACGGCAAGAGAGTGAAATCTAGTTTCTGATCTATACACCCACATAAAGGCCTTCAGATCCAAACTTGTCATGTTTTTGGAACAAGTACAGGCCAACAACTTGACGCATCACAGCAGTGCAAGGTCGTTACGGCTGAAGCAACCACTGAGTTCCCCACGTCATTTACATACGAGATCATTAAAGACCCCAGCTGCCGTTTCAATAGCGGTTTTCTGACTTTGATTCAAAGGCAGAAGAAGTGAGACTGTTTCAAAGCCCATTGGAAGCAAATGTGGCCAGTTGCAAAGATGAACTGCAGCTGGAGGTCATTGAATTGCAAGAAAATGACTAACTTAGAGACTTTAAAACTGTTGTATCAAAGTACCTTTCAAATTTTCGAACAACATACATGTGTGAACAAACATTTTCAAGAATGAAATACGTGAAGAACAATTTGAGAGCAAACGTGGACCTCGGATAGGGGGGGGGGGGTGTGGACACTTGAAAATTCTATATATTTCTAATTAAATTATATTTCGCTTGGGGGGCGGGGAGGGGCGGTAGACGTTCTTCGGAGGAGGGGGGCGCCACGACCCTGAAGAGATGCCTTAAAGAAACTCTGGCCCCCGAACTGATATTTGATAGTTAATGCGGCCCTCCAGCTGAAAAGTTTGGAGACCCCTGCCCTATACCATTGAATCCAGTGGCGTAGCGAGGTCGGGTATCACTCGGTGCGGCACTTAATGGTGTCACCCCCAGAGGCGCAGCGACAGTAGCGTACGCAGGGGGGGAGCAGGGGGAGCGGCCGCTCCCCCTCTGGCCATTTTCAGCAAAGTGGCGCCTTTTTGGAAACTTTTTAAACTCAAAGTTTTAAACAATGATATTTGTTAAAAAAATATTTTTGGTCGGCACATCTATGTAAATCACAAGATTTCTTTTCATGCAGCAATTAAGCATCATTGTACTAGTCTAGTAGTGTCTACGTTTACAACACGTATTAACAGCTGCATCAGTTTGCCATTCTAAAAATAACCATTACGATGCATTGGAATTTTTTAAAATCCTCTACCGGTAGTACCACTTGGCAAGAGGGGTGTTAAGTTTAAGGCAACTATATAATGTATTTGCTTACGAATAATTGCATTAGAAAATTTTATACATAAAACTTTACACATA